GATCTTTTTTGTATTTTACAAAAGATTAACAAGTTCTAAAAATTACATTTTACACCCACTTAACTTAATCTCCTAATTAATAGAAAGTTTGACTTAGCATTGGTCAAGTTGTCACCTTTTCTAAATTGGAAACTTATTTGTCACCTCCCACTCAATTTTCTCATGTTTCCCTAGAAAATATTTACCTGATTTAAGGGAAGTTTTGAAAAAAAAAAATTCCTTACCTATGTATGGAAGTTATTTTTAAAAAAATTAGAGGAAAATAAGTTCATTTGAAAAATATTTTCCAAAACATTAAAATCAATCAAACATGAGAGTTTGAAAAATATATTTCTTCATACCAGTCACACCCTTAATAAGTATACTTTTTAGAGGTTCCAACACCCTCACATATTTAAGGGGAGTGCAATTGGTGGATACCCATGAGTTATCCATATTTTATGATGGATAATATGGGTTGATCCATATTTGATCCACTTTTAAGTGATTAAATAACCAAACCATTTAAAATGGGTTGGGTTGAACGGATAACCAGAATTTTATTTTGCCACCCCTAGTAGTGCTTGATATGGAATTGTTGACTTGGGTATTGGGAGGACAAGTAGGTCTCCTCTGCCAATTACGTATTTAGGAATGCCCTTGGGAGCCAAATCAAAGCCCAAGAAGATATGGAATTCTGTGATTGAGAAGTGTGAAAAGAAATTGACAAGGTGCAATGCTCTGTACTTATATCTAGGGGCAGGATCACCCTTATAAACTCAGTATTTGATGTGCACTACCAACTTAAATGATGTTTCTTGTCCCCATTTCAGTTGGGGTTATTCAGAGGAGTAACAAACTTAGGAGAGATTTCTTATGGCACGACCATAAGAAGAAAAAGGGGTTTCATCTAGTCAAGTGGAGCAATGTGTTGCATGGAGAGAGACAGGGTAGTTTAGGCACTGGGAATTTAAAGTTGCAGAATAGTGCACTCAAAATGAAATGGTTTTGGAGATACCTTCACGAATCCAGCCTTACCAGGCTTACGGGGGAGGCGCAATCAGAGCTAAATATGGTGAAAAAGGTGGATGTCAGAGGAAGTTCTTTCTTTATATGGAGTAAGTATATGGAGACCTATCAGGGTGAATAATGGGTGGATAACATCATTTTGGGAGGATAAATGGTTAGGTAATTCGAGCCTCAAAGAACACTTTGTAGGTATTTATGCTTTGAACTTGCAACAAGAGAAGTCGGTAGATGAAGCATGGTCTCCTCAGGGTTGGAATTTCAATTAAGAAGGAATCTAAATGATTGGGAAATATATACATTAGTAGAATTTTACAAAATTTTAAAGAGTTCAAAGGGACACTTGAGAGTGTGGACAGACTATGGTGGAAAAAAGATGATAAAGGACTCTTCAGGATAAACTCAACATATAAGTTGTTGAACCAGGACAACCAATTAGATGATCAATTGGCCATGGAAGCACATTAGGAAAGTGAAGGTACATATTAAGGTTGCATGTGTTTCACCTGGATGTTATCCAAAGAAGTGGTTTTGACTCATGACAGCCTTAATTTTTTTTCCTGAAACTGGTAACTTGTATTTCACAGCATTAAGGATATGCTGGCCACATCCAAGAAATGAGCTACAAGGAGAAATTAATTCCAAAAACTCCTAAGAAGTCCACTATCCGTTCTTCCTCTTTTATACACTACTCTTTAAACCAAAAACATAACAAAGTAATACAATTCTATTTGATCTTTTGGATGGAGTTAGACTTGCCTTCAAAAATCCTTTTATTTCTCTCCTTTCATATGTCCCACCAGATGCAGGCTGGTACTGTATTCCACCACTTTTTTTGAATCTTGCTTACACCTACACCCCTTCTGATTCAACAGCTCAATAAGTCTACAGTATCCTCTGGTATTGTCTATTACTCCCTAGAGAAATAGAAAAAGAACTGCCCAAATTTGTTATGTTACCTTATAGTATAGGAACAAATGTTTGTTAGTTTTTTTTTTTGATAAGGTGACAAATGTTTGTTAGTTTCTGCTGCCTCCTGACGAAGAGCACATGTAGATGTTATTAGGACTCTGCTCCTCTGCAATGCTTCATGATTGAGACATATTTTTTTATGACTGAGTGAGACATGTTTTCTTCACCACCAACTCATGATGACCTTAGTAAGAGACCGATTTATATATGTTCATGGTGTTATTTGTGTGGTGAAGAAGCTAAGACAGTTCATCACCTATTCCTAAATTGAAGGATAACAGATATGCTATGTAAGATTTTCATTAGTCTCAGAGGCATTGCTTGGACAATGCCAAGGAAGATTATTGAAGTCTTGTTTAGCTTGGAAGAGGCACAGTGATACCTCCCAAGGAGAATCACACCCCAAAAGTTAAATATTGAGGTGGAAGAACTTGAGGTTATATAAACCCTACATCAATACATTCGTGTACCGATGTCAGACTCAAGTCGCATACCTTGCAATGGACCATAACAAATCACCACACTCTGCACTCGTAATTAGATGGAAGAACCCAACACTATATAAACCCAACATCAGCACATTTCTATACTGATGTGGGACTGAAGTTGCATACCTTGCAATGGACCACAACCAGCCACCACACTCCACATGACGATGGCTCCACACTGGGTAGCTTTAATTTTACCACAAGTAGGTAGTTCTTTTCAAGGTAGCCTTTTTTTAGTCAGGCTAGCCAAGTAGCATGTGGTTGGCTATACACTAAACATTGCTAGCTACGAGCAAACACTGCAATACCGATATCACCATCCATGGCACGGTGGCCACGAAGGGTGGTGGGTGGCTCTGATACCATTGATACAACCCAGGGAGAATCACACCTCAAAAGCTAGTTATTTAGGTGGAAGAGCCCAAAATTATATAAGCTCCATATCAGTATATTGTTATTACCGATGAGGGACTCAAGTCCCTTAGCAATGTCTAGCGCACAGCAAGCCACAAACACCCGACTCAAAAATCGCTACGCGGAAAAGAGTTACCTACTTGTGGTAGGGTGAAAGCTACCCAGTGTGGAGCCATTGAAAACGACAGATGAGAAGTGTGATGGATTGTTATGGTTCATTGCAAGGTACGGGACTTGAGTCCCACATGAGACAGCGATGTACTGATGTGGGGTTTATATAGCCTAGGCTTTTCCACCTCAATAACTAGTTTTTGGGGTGTGATTCCCTGGATTGTATCAATCATATTAGAGCCACCCACTACCCTTTGTGTCCACCGTGCCATGGATGAGGATGGTGGTATTGTTGTGTTCACTTGGGGCAAGCAATATCTAGCGCATAGCAAGCCACAGGTACCAAGACTCAAAAATCGCTACATTGAAAAGAGCTACCTACTTGTTGTAGAGTGAAAGCTACCCTGTGTGGAGCCGTCGAGTACAATGGATGCGGAGTGTGGTGGTTTGTTATGGTCCATAGCAAGATATGGGACTTGAGTGCCACATCTATACTATGTACAGACATGGGGTTTATAGGCATGAGCTCTTCCACCTCAATAGCTAGCTTTTGGGATGTGATTCTTCTTGGGTTGTATCACAGGAGCTGGAACTTTAAATAGAGATAGATGGAGGATTGTCCCTACTTGCAAATGGTGGACAATTTGGAAAGAAAGGGATTCCAAATGTTTTGAAGACAAATGCACTACAATACAAAAGATCGAGCTTTTTTTCCTTTGGTGTAAACAAAACTACATAGAAAACATTGCTTCAATCATAGATATCCTAGATTTTTGTTAAGTTTCTGGAGCGTATCCTTCCAATTTTTCCCCTTGTAAATATGGTCTCAACACAATTTTGATGTTGTTTTGATTAAATATACACAAATGTTACTTTCTCAAAGAAAGAAAAGATTTAATTTCAAGGATATCAACATTCGTGAGCACTACATCAAAACATTGCAGTAACAGGTACTTTATGCTCATAAGTCATTGCTGTAATTTTTTATAGACCATAAATTACTCTTGGTAAGTTTCATACTAGTTTCCTGGAGTTCTTACCTTTCCTAGTGGGTAAGCCTCTTAGAAAGTGCCCCATCAAAATGTTCTTATTGAAATCGTAAGGTCAAGTGAAACCTTTATCAAGTAGGCTCAGTTTATTTATATTATTTTGTAACTTTTGACGGCTTGTTATTGTTGTTAAGCATTGCATGATGGATTTTCCTAGACTTTTACTTAATTCTAAGATTCTACTGATAATGAAGTTCTGAGCAGCTCAAGCTTTCAATCCTCTTCATATTTTCATCACCCAAATTCCACTCCCCCATTCCAACAAGCTGCAGTGAACAGGAACATTTTCCTGCATCCATTTATTTTTAGGTACAAAGGAAGCCTACTGATTTAAGCAGTACAAGGAAACTCTTGTTCTCATTTTTCATTTAGGTCTAGAAACAGTAGGAGTGGCATTATTAGAGCTCCCTGCATCTACACTGCATAAATGTTCCTTCGAATTAGTTATCGCATTTGTGTTTAGCCATAAGCTTATCAGTTGCTGGAGAATCTATATCACTTGCTTTGAGTTTTTCCATCTTAGGTAAGCAATGGATTGTATTACAGATGTTTGGTGGATCAGGAAAGTTTATAACCAAGTATCTTCAATGCATTTACAACCATATTTATAAATTGTGAAACTTATGTCAAGGCCTGTCGGACTCAGAGCATACTTGAAAACAAATGAAAGAAGAAGGGGGGATCAGGACGATTTATCACCTTAAACGGACTGCCTTGCTTGGTGAGAAAGGGAGCTCTTCTCCCAATTTCTCAAAAAAATTAAATAGTGAAAAGTTAAGGAATAAATGCATGTAAATGATACTCATTAAGTCACCCTTCTAGGATCATGGCCCATATGATCCCAAATAATAAGCTCTAAGCACTATGTGTTAAACTATGCAAAGAAAAGAATCATATATGTTTATATAACAATGTAAATATCACCTCGTTCTTACTTATCCAAAAATATATATCTTGGTACCTAAAATAACAGTTGTTGCAGATAATTCTTTTGGGAACTTCATTAGCCTAGACAAATCAGTAGCTCTTGAGCCAATTGATGGCTTCTGTACTTCGTTGGATGTGTGTTCTGAATTTGACGTTGATGATTTTGCCTGGCTAGCAGATGAGCTAGCATTCAGATTGCTTCTACTTTGCAGTTCATCCTAATAGTCAAGGAAAAGAGCTTAATTTATGCTGATGAATCCAAACAATAGATATATCACATAACCACATACTCTGGATATCAACACTGCACATACCTTAAGATCCATCTGCCTGTTGGCTTGGTCCCATCTCACTATCTCTTAGACTTCCATGATTATCTGGAGATGTCATAGTTGAGTCATCCAGTGGGTCTGACCTCCGTGTAATCAGTACTTTGACAGGGAAACTGCGCCCCTTTAGCAACCTGCACCACATCATAGTTTTAATGACTTGCTTATCAAAAGTTATAGCAAAAAAGAAGGTGTTCTGAATGGAAAAGAATAAGACCAAGTGATCAACTTCCTTGACTGTTAAATATTTTTGATAACCAACATTCCTGACAGTTAAATACAAAACATTGTTATTTCAAATGGTTTTTTCTTTAATCAATGAGGATTATATTTCAGATGGTGCTTCCAGTGATGAGACAAAGTCGGCACGTGTTAACCAAAGAAGTCATTAAAATGGTAATATCCAATAAAAAGACCACAATCATCAAATATGTGCATTGTGGTTCATATTCAAGGGCTAAGTTTGGCATTTGTCAGTAGCATTTCTTTTATGCTCAAGGATAAAACAGCCCAACACTTCTTATGTCTAAAGTAAGCTATTAAAAACTAAACAGAAACCAGAAATGGAGAGATTGGACTCTTGCTGTTAACTGTATCACTGTACATTGAAACTATTAACTTCAAAAAACCCAAAAGTTCATATTTCACACATCACTGCCACAACAAATAAGTAAAAGTAACTAGAGCTTCTGCAGAGCTAAGAAGTTTGACAACCTAAATCCAAACTTTAACCTTTACAATCCACAAAAAATGAAAAAAATAGTAAATGCATTTCCCAATGTAAAAACCAACAGACAAATCAGAAAAACAACACAGACTACCAGTGATCAAAGGTTCAAGTTTACCAGTATGTAAGGACGCGTCAGCCCCAAAAACACGTCTCCTCACCCAACTCCATTTTGATCAAATAAAACGTAAGTTTTGCTTGAAGTGTCTAAAATTTAAAACACTCAAAAAGATGACGAAATAGGATTGGCTTGAAAATCTTTTTATGTTTTTCTAGCATATCACCTTACAAACAACTGTATTGAGCTCTTCACTTTCTGTTGATACATATTAGTCCTAGTAGTAACACAAAAATTCATCAAACTGAGCAAGAACAAACATAGTACTCATATAGGAAATATAACAAGTTTTTCAACCTAAAATTTCTCCACTCTAACCTCCATAAACTACCAAAACATCATTAAAAGAAGGATAAAATGGCAAATACTAAACACATTCCCAATCACAAATTCATCAATCAGATCACAAAATAAACATACTGGGTCACTCATACACTCCCCAAGTCCAATTGAGTTGAATTACCTCAAAATGGTACATTCTAAATGGCGGAAAATGGGAAATCTAAGTGATGGGTTTTTAGAGAATTATATAGATCTGAATAAGAACAATACCCTTATACGTTTCTGAGAGTTTGATTGAATCTTGAATAACAGTAGCATTTCGATTTTCCATTCTGTCGCTCCTCATGGTTACACCATTGCTGCTCTCAAAACTCCTCCTTTGTGCTTTCAATGGAAGTGAAGTTTGTTTTAGGAGTACAATTGATGCCACACAACCTGCAACTTCTTTATGCGTCTTTTGGTCTCTCCAGTTTCCACAATTCGGTCACCAAATTGGACGATACTTGCTTTTATATATTTTGGGTAAAAAGCCAACATAATATTTCTCTTCGGTCTAACTTGGTTCAATGAAATAAATCACTCATTTGATAATATAATAAGATAATATATTTTTAAAATATTTTCATATAAATATATGATTCAATAATATTTTTTTTAAATATAAATATATCTAAGATAATTTAGTGAAATATGGTTCTATTTGTTTTGCTTTTTGTTAAAATTTAAATCTAGTTGAAACTCATTTCTAATCGCATTTAAAAGTTTCGGTGTTGTCTTTTCGAATTGTACCATAAAATTTTGAAGAGTTCTAGATGTAACAAGTGTTTCCTTACGCGTAACTAGTTCCAAAGGTATATATTGTATCATATTCAACCTCTGAACATGTATCATTTTCACCCGGATGATCTAACAGGTTATTGACATATTTTGTTGCAATAAGCGAGATCATTAATCATGACTTCTAGTTCATGAGTGGCGTTTTCACAAGTGGATTTATTCAAATTCTTTGTGATTTCATACCTCGAACAAATTTACAGTGTCGAAAATAATTTGCTATTGTCTCTTACTAAACATTTGTTGTCCAAGCCGGAATTGTAAAATTGATAGCATCCAAAACATTGATTTTTCCAATGAATCATTTATATATATATATATATATATAGTGGCGGATCCAGACATTTTATGAAGGGTGTGCAAAATTTTAAAAAGTAACCAACAAAATATTTAGTGAGTCTTGACTAATAAAAAATGATGTTAAAAACTTAAAGTTAGCAAGAATCAAACCTTCGACCTCAGGCCTCGAAGCTTCTAAATCGCTCTTTACCTCTGAGCCAAGGGCTCTAATTATGTCAAGTGTGTGCAAACTTATGTATATATTAATAATTTCATTAATTTGACCCACTACAAAAAAACTCCAAATTGCCAACAGATTTTACTAACTTAAATTGGTTAATATTCTACTAACAAATTACCAACATATTTCTAACTGAATTATATTTTAAAACTTTACAACGAAATTCTAACAAATTACCAACCAAAATCTTACTAACTAAGTATTTTAGTTGGTAAATATGGCGGGAAAAAATGGCGCCAAATTTAGCAACATTCTATCAATAGATTACCAACTGAAATATTACTAACGCACTACCTTTTGTTGGTAATATTACCAACGAAATATATATCGGTTGGTAAATATGACAAAAAATTGTTTATATAATTTATTAACATATTACCAAAGAATTACTAACCAAACATTACCAATGGCAAGTTTGTGTTGCTAAATATACCAACCAAATATAAATGTGTTGGTAAATTAGTAACGAAATGTAATTTATTGGTAAACTTGCCAACCAATATCCAATTAGTTGAAAATTTTGTCGACGAATAAAGATTGTAGTTAGTAGATTACTAACATCATTAAAATAGTTGATAATATACCAACCGATCATTAATCCATTGGTAAAATCTACCAACATATTAATTATTAGTTGGTAATATTACATATGAATGCTTAGTTGAATAGTAACTCTTACCAACTGTGATAAAATTTATTGGTAAATTATTAATTACTAACTTATATTTGAATATTTGGTAAATTTATCAATTGAAGTTAAACTTTTTGGTAAATCAGCGTCTAGTGTTGAGGCTTTCATATCCAGTTTGTGTCGTTAGGCATTTTAACTTTAAAATTTTAGCCAAAACTTGACTTTGGTTGATATTTTTGGTAAACATGCTCAGATTAGAACTCTGCCAGTGTCATTAGCTTCAAAAGGTCATTTTTTATCTAACAGAAAGGTTGGTTCAAGTTTTGAGGCTTCCGTTTTTTGTTTGTGCCGTTAGGTGTTTTAAATCTTATGTTTTGGCGAAAATTTGACTTTGGTTAATATATTTGTGAACGTGCTCAGATGAGAATTTTGTCAGCGTAATTAACTTCAAAGGTCATTTTTATCTAATAGGATGGTTGGTTGGGGTTTTGAGGCTTTAATTTTTAGTGTGTGTCATTAGGTGTTTTAACTTGTAAATTTTGGCCAAAATTTAACTTCGATCAATATATTTGATAAATGTGCTCAGATGAGAATTCCGCTAGTGTTGTTAGATGCGGAAGGTCATTTTTAATGTAATAAGATAGATGGTTTGGATTTTGAGGCTTCCATTTTTAGTTTGTGCCGTTAGGCATTTTAATTTTTAATTTTTGGCCAAATTTTCACTTTAGTCAATATTTTTGGTAATTGTGCTCGAATTGAAATTTTGTCACCGCGGTTAGCCATATAAGTTCAGTTTTGGTCTCATAGGATGGTTGGTTCGGGTTTGGAGACTTTTATTTTCAATTTGTGTCGTTAAGAGTTTTAGCTTTTAACTTTTGGGTAAAATTTGAACTAGGTCAATTTTTTTGAGAAACATGCTCAAATTAGAATTTCGTCAGCGTGGTTAGCTCTGGAAGGTCATTTTTGGTCTTATAGGATGGTTGGTTTGGATTTTGAGGTCAGTTTGTACCGTTAGGCGTATTAACTTTTAACTTTTGGCAAAAATTTGACTTTGCTTAACATCTTTTGTAAACGTGCTCTGATGAGAATTTCGTCAGCGCGATTAGCTTCGGAAGGTCATTTTTATATCTAATAGGATGGTTGGTTCAGGTTTTGAGGCTTCCATTTTCAGTTTGTACTTTTAGGCATTTTAACTTTTAAGTTTTGGCCAAAATTTAGATTTGGTCAATATTTTTGGTAAACGTGCTCAAATTAAAAAATTTGATATAATGATATGTGTCATATTGAGATTAATTTAACTTGTTATCATAGATTTTGCATTGTTTCATTCAAATATGATTTATAAAATTTATATTAATATTTTTGAATTTATATTCGTGCTCTTAGATTTTTAAATGCAATAAATTAATAAATATTTACTATTGGATAACCATTCAGTTAATAATATTTTGAACATATTGTCAATCAATTACTAATCTGACATTGAACTTTAATGATATATTACCAACAAACTAACAATCAACTAGTAAATTTATTAGAAAAACAAATAATCATACTAACGTATTTAAAATTTATTACCAACAAGGGTTGTGGTGGAGTGGAAAGAACTCTTTCATCCTTAACCAAGAGGTCTCAGGTTCGATTCCTCTTGGGTACGGAGTCGCCTTGAGTGATATATTACCAACAAACTAACAATCAACTAGTAAATTTATTAGAAAAACAAATAATCATACTAACGTATTTAAAATTTATTACCAACAAGGGTTGTGGTGGAGTGGAAAGAACTCTTTCATCCTTAACCAAGAGGTCTCAGGTTCGATTCCTCTTGGGTACGGAGTCGCCTTGAGTGATATATTACCAACAAACTAACAATTAATTAGCGTATTTAAAATTTATTACCAACAAGGGTTGTGGTGGAGTGGTAAGTACTCTTTCATCCTTAACCAAGAGGTCTCAGGTTCGATTCCCCTTGGGTACGGAGTCCGGATTTAGTCAGTCTCCAATGTGGGTACCGGACACCGGATGAAAAACTAAAAAAAAAGTTTAAGATTTAGTCGGGATCCAATATGGGTACCATACACCGGATGGGAAACTAAAAAGTTTACTATCAGACATTTGTTACTATAATTACCAACGGAATCGAATAATGAAGAAAAAAAATTACTAACTCCTTTTCAATTCGTTAGTAAAGGTACTAACGATATACTAACCGAAAATTAGTTGGTGAAGTTATCAACGGAAATTTCAGGGCCATGTTTCAAAATTTTGTAACAACATCTTTGGTGTTTACCAACTGATTTTCGGTTGGTAAGTTTACCAACAAAACAACATCTTTGGGTGTTTACCAACTGATTTTTGATTGGTATGTTTACCAACAAATTAAAATCGGTTGGTAATATTACCGACGAGCCTTTTAGCAACAGATTAATATAAGTTGGCATTTGGCTGGTAACTCAATTTGCCAACCAATTTGATCAATTTACCAACCAATTTTTTTGTTGGTAATTGGGGTTCCTTTTGTAGTGACCTATATATACGGTATAATTTTCCGGCGAAGGGTGTTCACCTACACACCCATCACTAGTGTAGCTTCGCCCCTATATATATATATATATTATAATGAATCATACACATACATTGTACTTTATGTATAATAAAAAAAATTATGTGAATTCAATAAATATGATACATAATTTAGTAAGATATAATGATTTTGATGTATTTATTGTATTTTATATACAATAATTTTTTTATATGAATTTAATAAATATGATACATAAATTAGTATGATACCTTCATTGAATCTCAAAACACTCTTTAAATTAATAAATATTAATTTATCGATTAAATAATATCTCTACAAAATAATAATATTTTATTATTTCACCTATATTAATTTAGTGAGGTTTTACTCTATTTGTAGTAATAGATTAATTTACAGAAGTGTTTAAAAAATAACCTCACCACAAACCTGCATTTTAAGGGTCATTTTCCGTGTATCCTTTGTTGTAGCTTCAGGGTATGATTCATTTTCATATTTGCTAGTAATTCATTATATGTAACAACATTGGTGTGAGTGATTGCTATTATTTTCTTGAATTAATCTTTCACTATATGTACTTGAAGACAATAAAATATTCGTGTCGAGAAAACAATAATTAAGAACGGAAAAATATTGTAACAATCGTATTTATTATTTCAAAGTGTGAGTGTTACAATTCTTCTAAATTCGCCTTTTCAAATATAAATTCAAGGGCTTTAAAGCTTATTTTTGAATCTTCGCTTCAAGCTTGTTCTTGAATCCGATGGTCTTGATTTTGATTGTTCTTGAACTTGAATGCTTGAATTCTTAAACTTGTAGCATATAGAGAATTTTATGGCGTTTGTACCACAGTTTTCTCTAGCTTCTTGTTTAGAATTTTTTCGGTCCCCTTTTCTGAATTATGAGGAGCCCTATTTATAGTTTTAAAATAGAGGAGTTGTGATTGAAACAAGATTTCCTTCGG